AATAAACAATAATAATAAACAATAATAATAAACAATAATAACAAACAATAATCACAAACAATAGCAATTAAGAACAATAACAATTAACAACAATAATTTTGTAGTAATGTAAATTACAATGAGCAGCAACAACCACAATAATAATAACAATAATGATAATGATAAACAATAATAATAATAATTAACAGACAATAATAATAATTGACAGTCATGAATAATAATAATCGTGATAATAATCACAACAATAATAATACTGACAATAGTGACAATAATATTAATAATAATCATGCTATTAGTAATTACAGCAATAATATTACTACTGTGATAATGAAAAGATTAAATTGATTAAATCTAATTCTATAACGCAAAATAACAACTCTACTCGGATAATTTGCAATCTTTTTACATACCTATCACATTTTAGTTCTGAATTTTTATCATAGCAAAAATTTGCTTTCAAATTCAATTCACTTTCTGAAGTATGAAAAACAAATCATCAAATTGAGATAATTGGAATGTTATTGAAATTTTAAACTTAGTGTTTTTGAGATAGCAAATCTATCTTCTTTGAATATTGACAATGGTAATAAACCATAATCTAAGCTATATAGATCATATTCTCTATATGCGTACGCATGAGTACGTCACCGTACGTCAACACAATCATATCCTTCACAAATCCTTTACTATGAGACATTCTTACATTCATTAATTAACTAATACTTATCATTTTTTTTAATTTAAAAATTCATTTAACTTTGTGAGCAAAAATTCGCAAAAAAAACAACGTGAATTTACTGAATTTAATAAAATAAAATAATTTATGGAAAGTTTTGAAATAATAATAATAATACACACAATTCTTTTAGTTTTACTGATTTCAAGTTTTCGCCAACTTTTTCAATCCGATCATAAAAAAGTTAAAAAATTGATTTCTCTAACGGTACATTAAAACAGCCCCATTTATACTTATTTGTTTGTTTATAGGAGGAACAGTTTTATGACTATTCCATTTAAAATTTTTATTTTCTAGTTTTGTATTTAATGAAATAGGAATTATTACTTGTAAATGATTGAGAGTTTAAACTTCAATCGCAATTTCTTGTTCATTTGAACCCTTACATTAAAAAAAAAATTTTCAGCTTCATATTTTAAATTAGTCATGGATTGGTTTACTGTACAAGTAAGAAAAAAATTGTTATATTAAGAAACACACTTTTGATCTCTTTTTTTCAATGTCTAATTTCTACAAATCAAACAATTACAAGCCAAAAACGTGATTTTTCGATTTACATAAAATTTTTGCAATATTTTCTTTTCTAAACATTTCACCGTAACCTTAAATGTAGGAAAACAGAAAAAAATGAGCACAATGTCAAATTCATAGTTAATTTGAAAATTGACTAAAATATATGTAAGAACTTTTCAGATTCAATTTATTCCTTTTTATTTGTTTATTTATTACTATTTTTTTTTTGTTTAATCAAAATTGCAGTAAATCATTAATGAAATAAACGCAAAAAAAAACTTTTTTTTTTAGATATGAAAGCTTTTAAGTAAAAAAAAAAGGAAAAAAATGATAAAAAATTAATTTTTCATAGAAATGAGAGTAAGAAAAAGGAATTCTTTCTCGTTTTTATTTTTTTTTCTTTTTTTTGCAAATCTTTCTTCTCATTGCGCTTACATTTCTTTTATATTTCCAGCTGTGTAATGGTGCTATTTGCTGATACAATATGATAAATAGCTAAAAAGTAAAAATTTAATTTCAGAACTTGATTTTTCTCAAATATTTGGGATTTAAAAGGTATGTTTTAAAAGGTATTTTTGCTTGATCAATTTTTACCAGTTTGTTGTGATTGTTTGTAGTTTCAAATAAATTCAACAAATTTTTTTTTTTTTGTATTTTCTTCGTCTTCTTTTTTTCTCTAATTATTTCCAATATTATTTGTTTAAATTATGCAATTATTATTGTTTGTTATTGTTGTTGGAGTAATTTCTCACTGAGGGTTATTTATTATTTGACGAAATTGGAAAATATTAAAAAATTTTGTAGTTACATTAAAAAATTTACTTTTCAGATTCAATTTATTCCTTTTTATTTGTTTATTTATTACTATTTTTTTTGTTTAATTAAAATTACAGTAAATCATTAATGAAATAAAAGCAGAAAAATGCTCTCTCATTTCATTTTAGCAATTGCTATGATAATTACATTGATTTTCCTGAAAATAACATTTCTGGCAGCTATTCAAATTGGAAATGATATACAATTTAATATAGAAATAATTAGATATAATCCATGTCCCTATATCGAAGGCTAGTTTGTTCCTAATTATTATTGCATAAAAAATAACAGCGAAGTATTAATTCTTGAAATTTCTATCTTGTAATGATAGATAAAAGTGAGATTAGCTGATAATGTCAAAATATATTTAAATAATTTGCAATATATTTTAGATAAATTTTCAGAAAATATTAACAGAATGCTCTATTTAAAATTGAATAGCATATTTTGAATGGAATGAAAAATTTTTTTTAGAATATTTTTATCAAGCTAAAATCTTATGAATATAACTAAGTTTGAGATGATTGAAGCATAAGTTTGTTGATGTGAAATATTGATTGATAGCTAAAGAATGAAAGTATAATTATTCTCAGTAATTATTATTGAGAATAATTATCAATCATAATTATTCTCAGCTACTTTTTTTAGGCTACTCAAAATGGAATCGTTCATTGGAATTTGAAAGTAGTGATGGTAAGAAAAGTCCATATCTAAATGCACAACCGGGTAAATCTGGTTGCTATGTTATTAGCGGTCGAACAAAAGTTTTTCGAGAATTTAGAGCTAATTTCAGTGTTTATGTAGAGTTGCGAACATCTGCAAGTCGACAAAAAGTAATGATATTTTATGATATTTGAAAGAGAATTAAAATAATTAACAATTGAACAAAAACAATGATCAGTTCAAATTTTTACAATAGTGAATGAGTAACAATTACAGTAATCATGTATTTTTTTTGACAAATTCATTAATAATACATAAATAAAATATGGAAAAATATTAATGAAATCTATTTATATTATTATTTTAAAAAAATTGTTCAAAAATGCTGTTACATATTCGAATGAAATTTCAAATTTATTGAAATTGAATTTCATAAATCGTTTAGAATACACATGTGTTCTAATAATAACAGAAACTAAAGTTTAAAAATAAACATTAAGTTAAAAAATTCATGATCCCAAAAAAAGAGAAAAAATTTCCGCCTAAGGAAGTTGTTATCATATTATTTTCGTAATATTATTGCTCATCATGAATTTCAATATTTAAAATTTTTAAAAAAGATGATGAGTTAGGTTATGTTATATCATATCAGAAATAGTTAAAGACTTACTTATTTAAGCAATAGTTACATTATTTCAAATGAAATTATAATTTCTTTTTATATCACTCTATCTATTATCCGTATGATTGTATTTCCATGTAATTGAGCACTTTTTTTCACCTTTAAAATTAATTCATTCTCTATCAGTCTATCAATACTTTTATTCTTACATATCACATGTAATTCAGACATGTTTTTGAAAGCGTCACGTGCAATTCACGTGTTCTCTTAAGCATTTTTTTTAGTGTAGCATGAGAAAAAAGCAAATTTTACAAAACTAATACAAAAAATCAGCGTAATTAATCTGCAAAAATTAAACAAAAAAACACTAACAATTTCTTGTAAAATAGCAAACTTCATCTCACTTATGAAATTAAATGTCTAACTGATAGCTAAACATGCATCAATTTAATCAGTCAATCAAGATCGAATTTATATTGATTGACTGTACTAAAATGATTGCTACTGATAGCAATATTTGATAAAAAAATTCAATGGAAAAGTTTGTGAAATTAAACAAGCGCTGTCTTTCAATCTTTCTTTCTTTTTTTTTTTCTGTGAACAATCGTGTATGGCTAATGAATCAGTAATTACCGGATTTACCTTATTCTCCCATTTTATAATTATAATATTTATCAAGGATTCTTTCAAAATTTTGTTCAAATTTAAATTTTCAATTAAAATTGAAGAAAAAAAAGATTATTGTGATGTTTGTAAAATTACAATATATATTATCATTACTATTCGGTTTTCTCAAAATTTGGATCCAAATTAGAATTCAAAATGAAATGAGCATTATCATTTTTATCGAAATTCTGTTAAAATTACAATTAAAATTTCGGTCAAAAATTAAAAAAAAAGATTATTTTGTAATAATCTAAAAAAAAACATATATTTCTATATGTAATATTTATGTATATCCATTATTTTCAGAAAATTCGTGAGAAAATAGAATATATTTGTTTTTTTTTTTAAAATCGCTCTAACCTATTCGATATAAATATCAAAAATAAAACTAAAAACAAAATTGAATAGTTTTAAACAGTTTCAAGGAAATAGAACAAAATATATGGTAAATGTTTGAAAAAATCAATAGTGAAATTTTTTTCCAAAAAATTTAATTAATTATCAATATGAATTGTATATTTCAGCCGGCTGAACCGTGCATCAATCAACAGCCAAATGGCTGTGGTGGTTTAGGATCATGGTTTGCATTAATATATCCGAATTTTTTTATTTAAATATTAACTTTAGAACAGTAAGAAAAATAATATAATATTAATGAGT